TTTAAGGTGATCTAATTCTAATATCATCATCAAATAATAATAATAATAATAATAATAATAATAATAATAATAATAATAATAATAATAATAATAATAATAATAATAATAATAATAATAATAATAATAATAATAATAATAATAATGTAATTAATGCAATATTAGAACAAAATATTTAAAAAAATATATTATTATGGAACAGAGGAAATATTAATTAGTGGACAAGGGCATTTTAGTGTAAAAATATACGTTTACCTAAATCAAGTCACACTTAATGATTAATCCTTGCGCAAAGCTAAAAAATAATAGTTATAAAGGAACGGAGGGATTATAAGATTGTAAAACGATATTGTAAATAATTAAAAAAAATACCGAACAATTAGCAGTACGATTAGTAGGGGATAATTAAAAATAACGAAATTCTTAGATTAGCAGTACGATAATTAAAAAATATTGAAAAGAAAAGAGAGAGATTAGTAGGGGATACACCCGATCCAATGGGGGGCTGCACCTCCGTTCGGGCCGATTTCACACTGTTCCGACTGTGCGCCACCACACAGAAGATAATGTTTTCGCCCCTCGGAGGCATTCCCTGTACTAGAAGCTCTCATTATTTGCCTCTAAAATCACTTATCATGATAAATCACAATACTAAAATTAAACCAAACAATGAAAAAAAGATAATGAAAATAAAAATGATTTTTTTTTTATCAGTGATAAATGAACTCGTATATCCATATATATATATATATATATATATATATATAAGTGCACATAGTGAATTGTCACTCGCAAACTGCAGTACATATGTAAACTACACTTGCTTAACCCTAACCTAAAAAGTGTTGGCAAATTAATCAAACGCTTCTATACATTTATCCACCATCCAATACATACACATTCTCATAAATATGAAGTTTATTGCATTTAGTACCCTGATTTATCCTGAATTGCTAAAAAACTCATTATGTTATAAATATTAGAAAAGAAAAAAAAAAAAAAAAAAAAAACTCCTATAATGCATTTTTTTTAACACACAAGTTCAAGTTTGCTATTGAAATTGAATCATAGAGAAATCATATCTCAAACCATACGACCCATGGAACAAAACCCATGAATCACTTCAGATTTCGGTTGTTAGACATTGTTAAGATAACCAAAAGTCCGTTTTTGTCATTTAAGAAAAGTTTTACAAAGAAACATAGAAAAATTAAATGAGAACTCCGTAAATTGGATTGTTCCCAAAATTGCGAGATCTGTTAGAATTAATAAATGTTTCTCATATTTATACCATGGGAGAGTTTTTTGACAAATTGGAGTAAACACAGGGGGGCTAAATGCAATAAACCCCATAAATATGGGTGTGTTTGAATATTGTGTACTTGGCTTGACCTATTAATAATAATTAGGATAAATTACACCTACACCCCTGAGGTATGCTAAACTAACTTTAAGGTTCTTATAGTGTCGGTAATTACAATCACTCCTGAAACATTGTTAGAAACCCTAACAAAATAATGTATAAGGGTTCTAACAGACTATTAGTTTCGGGTAGTGGTGGGGACAAGATAGAGCTGGGGTGACATGGCTTGTCTAACATTTCTTAAATTCTTATTATTTTATATAAGATTTATAATTTTTTTGTCTATGGAAGCATTAACGGCACAGTGGGAAACAAATATGGTGCATATCGGTCCCCAAAACATGAAATCTTGGCTCCGGTAATTGTTTCAAGGGTGTGGTTGTAGTTACCAACACCACAAGGACCTTAAAGTTATTTTAGCATACCTCAAGGGTGTAATTGTAATTTACCCCAAGAAACAAGAACTAACCTGTTTTCTAGCTCTTGATCTAGCAGCCGATTCCCGGTTCTTGATCATCCTTTTCTGCCTCTTTTCATTGATAAAAATGCGCTCGTTTCGACATTCGGGTTTCGAATCCGAACCTTTTTCCATTGCCATCGTTTCGGGGTTCGTTTCCTTATAATCAATATCCATCCTCTTATTCTCATAATAGTAAATATTATTATTCTCCAAACCCTGAAAATTTGATCCCATATTTTGCTGCTCCAATTTTATAGCCACATGTTGATTCACATCCGGCACCAAAGGCGCGGAATTACGAACTAAGCCCTCTCGATTTCCCCGAGCTCTTACGGCTCCAATTTGTATAAGAAATTCGTCAAGTGTAATATCCCCTCCATTATTCGAACTTATTTCTAATTGAGGCTGTGATAATGAATTAGGGTTTTTCGTTGCACTATTGGCATTATTTTGTTCGGCATGACGTATAGTTTTCTCGGCCGACGGAGGCGAATACGAAGAAGATGAAGAATAACTAGGGTTTTGAATAATTTTTATATCGGAATCTTCGGCGGGGTTCTTCATTATGTTCTTGATAAACTCATCAAGAGTAAGATTACAGCTTGGAAATTCCATGAATAATTATTTAGTTTTGTCTAACGTCTCGAATTTTTTTCTCAGACTCAAATCATTTCCTGGCCACGCACAGGGCTGTCTTAAAAAGAAACTTGCTGATCACGTAACAAAGAATTTGATTTTTTTTTTTCTGTTCTTTTTTCACGAAAATGCATGAAACCCTAAATATATTATATATAGGTTATTGAATCCCATGATTAGCATTGTCTGTTGAGATTAGATAGATAGACCTAACTTAGATCCATGATTATCTCACCAATACTTCAACTGAAGGATAAACACCAATATACTTTTACTTTTGTATCTTTTCCGCAGGTTTCGATCTAGAAAATTCCGATTTTGGAGCAACTTTTTTCATTCGAATTTCTGATTTTTTTTTATTGCAATTGGAATTATATTAAATAAAAACTTGGAATTTTCAATCTAATTTAATTTTTGAAATTAATTCCAAAAAAATCCGAGTTTTTTTTTTTCTTTTCCAAGAAATAAACATATAAATAATATATATTATTATTATGTTACATAATTCAAAATAAACTAAGGATTTAATAATATTTATACTTTATGGACCATGTTAAAGACTTTCCTATGCTATTTGTCACCTAAAAACATCCACGTTTGTTATTTATTGTGCAAATAGTTATAGTTTCAGTTGCAAGTCAAAAGTCACAACCGGTAGTTTCAGAAAATTTCCGTTTAGTTTCGATTTCTTTTTTTTTCGTAATACTGAAATTCTCGAGCCTTTTGGAATTGAAATGAAGTTTTAGATTCCAAAAAATTGGAATTGAAACTGTAATTAATTTTGTTCCTCAGAAAAAAATTGGAATTTTTTTAAAAAGGCTAATTTCGGCAAGATTTGGAACATACCTCACATTTCCAAACTACTTCTCTTGTCCAGAAGAAAACATAATCTTCACTGACCCTATCCCTTGAATATCCATTGTCTCATTGTTTCCCAGGAAGGCTAATCCTTGTTGTGTTTTATGTAATTCCTGGAGCCGGTCTTCATTGAGGCATATGTGAAAGGAGCAACCTGAATCAAGAACCCATACATGCTTTAGACGTGCCCTTGTGACACACAAAACATGAGCGTAATCATAGCCATTACCGGCTATAGAGACATCTCCTGTATCCAGTGGCGGATCTAGCTATGGTCTAGGGTGTGCAGTTGCACACCCTTGATTGTAAATAAATATTACTATTATACATAAGTTGACAGAAACGGCATTTTGTTGAGGTGGTGAAGATATGCCTTCTTTTATTAATAGGTCCCGGATCCGCCACTGCCTGTATCCTGAGTTTTTTCAGAATGTTTTTTCTTCTTTCTTTCTGGACAATCACTCATGTAGTGACCTTCTTTCTTGCAGTGCCAACACTTCTTGGAATCTCTCTTCTCAATCCTCTCACTCACAAACAAGCTGTCTCCACATACCTCTCCCTTTGCATCTGACTTCCTTTGGAATTAAGTGCAAACTTTACTTATGACAGGGTAAGTGTTTGCTTCCCATACAACATGGTGTCAAAAAAATGTTCATAAGTGAACAGAGAAGAACAAGCTTGATCTTCTTCTTCAATCTTGACCCCAACATTTTTGAGGTCCAGAACAATCTTGTTATAATCATCAAGGTGTCTCCCCGTTTCTTTGTTTTCATCCATCTACAGTGTATAGAGCTTATTCTTGAGGTACAGTCTATTGACAAGAGATTTCTTCATGTAAACTGTCTCCAACTTCTCCCATATATCCAATGCACAAGTCTCCTTAGAAACTTCCCTTAGAACTTCATCACCAAGGCTGAGAATCAAGTACTATATAAGCCTTGACTGGATGTGAGTAGCAATCTTCAAGTCAGTGATTGCTGCTCTGTCCTTCTTGCTCAGAGCTGCAGAAACCCCATTGATGAACTAGTTTTTTTTTAAAGGGCTTTCATCTTGATTCTCCATAAATTGAATCTGTTTTCGCCAGACAACTTTTCCAAATCAAATTTGCTTGAACTAATGGTGCATAAATCAATTTTAAATTTTCTTAAGGATGGTTTAGGATCGCTTTCTTGTTCGATTGATCTGAGATGATCTTTGTTTTGAATCAATTTTAATTCACAATAGATCACCTAATTAGGGATCTCCACGTTCATCGCACCACTTGTTAAGTAATATTTGGCTCCAAGAATAATTTGTGAAAAATTGTGCTTGTGTGAACATAAACTTAATCAAACAATTGAACACCAAATTTACCGTGGTTCGACTCAATGAGAGCCTACATCCACCAAACGATCCAAAAACTATATATTGATCAAGAGAGTTACAGAATACAATCAATCCACAGTAATCTCAGACTAATTCACGCAGTATACCAAGAATACATACTAAAGAAAACCCTAAAATGTTTTTCTCTCTTCAAGTGTCTATCTCTCTTTGTAATTCTATTTTTGTAGCTCAATGCATGATAAGGAAAGATTTCTACTACAACAAGGAAACTTGCATGGGCTAAGAAACTTGTATGCGAAGTTTGCCTCACAAGGTAACTCCCAACTTCCTTCTAAGAGTGCAATCTTCTCCGTTGGATCTTCTTCTTCTCTTGAGCATATATTTCAGAAGTTGAATCGTAGATCAACAGTGTTTCTTCATTCTTTAGAGTCTTGCGAACACAATATTGAAAGTTATAATAAATCACACAAAATAACCAAACTTAATAAGGAATCAAAACTCTTAAATTTATTTGTCACGTAACCAAGAACCTCACTGGTTGTTGGCCCCCATCTCATTGCTACTAACCAAATCCAGTAAATCATCCAATTTTTCTTCAATTTGAAGAAATAATGGTTTGACGCTTTTAGGACGAAATTCCCATCGTGTATGTTGGCTTAAGTGTTAGGCCACTCACATTATCTCTTATGATGCCTAGCAATTTTGTTGAAGTTGACAACAAACAGTATATGCGTTGGACAATACTAAAATATAATTTGTAAACAACAACCAACTATATCACTTAGTGCAAGATTTTGTCAACCAGGGAAGAAAGATATTTCTGAATACTTCCAGTCTCATCTTTCAGTAGTACTTTGCACGATCTTCGCCGATGTTGAAGTGGGGACGTTTATTGATATCAAAATTTGAGAATAAATAACATATTAATGGCCTAATAAATTGGTTAATAATTTGGATATCGATTAGAAGTCCATAATAATTTGGGCTCTGTATCAAAATTTTGAGATTATATTATCGATCAATACCTCAAGAAAATTGGTGATTAATTTGGATCTCGTCGAAGTCCGTAATAAACATAGGGTTTATATTGAAGTTCAAGAAAAAATTGGATTTCACATATGTGTTCTTATGCTTTTCAGTTAGCTATTTGAACCTAAATACAACCCACGTAAAGTAAATTGCAAATGTTCAAGTTATTTGGGCTAGCTATTTGAGCCTAAATATGGCCCACATAAAGTAAATTGTAAGTGTTCAAATCCACCGATCCAAATTCTGAGGCAACAAAAGCTCTCAAATCTCGAGTTCACGCAACGACGAAGCACAACAGCTGTGGAGGTTATGTATCTTCATTTAGGCACCAAATCCACAAGACCTAAAAACCCCCAAATCGATTTCAAGGTATTCATACTTTCTTCCGCAAATCTCGGAGAAAAACGACGTATTCAATTGAAAAACAATTTTCGCTCATTGAATTAAATTTAGGAGATGAATAAGGGCATTATTTAGAAATTTACCCATTTAATTTCCTCTTGATTAACAATATTTATTTGTCCCCATTTTTCTTTTTCTATAAATTCAAATTAAATTCATGGTGAACACACGCATACTGCACTAAGGTAAAAATGGATTTCATTACGCATAAATGGCCAAGGATTGGGGAAGGTTAGATCCTTCAATACAAGATGAATCTGCCATTGAAGCAAGGACATGGGCCAAGAGATTACCAGTCCGTCTAACAAAAGAAAAAAAACATGAAGTAAAGGAATGAGAAATAATTAAACATTATTCCACAAAAACTACGAAAGAAGAAGATGGAGAACCACCAGCATGAAAGGCATCGATAACGCATTTGCAATCTCCTTCTAGAATAATGGACCTCCAGCCTTTCCTTGGGCTTTAAGTAGCGCACGAAGAGCCGCATGAGCTTCACCATCAACCACACATGGTCTTTTCCACACTCCACCAAATCAGCATCCCTTTCCAATCTCAAGCGGCCATTGAAACTGAATAATAATCTTGATTAATAGGAAGGGCCGCGTCGAAATCGACCTTAATCATTCCTTCCGGCGGAGGGCTCAATCGGGTTGGATGAGCAGGCTTCCTTGAGACATTATAAACTAGGTGGGCTTGCCGAAAGCTTTCGAGAAAGTTACTGCTCCAACATACAAGTTCATCCTCCTTCATCCCCTCATTCTATGCAAGATTTTGTTGCGACAGTCCCATAGTTTCCAAGCCACCACAAGAGCTAAGAGAAATGTTTCATCCTCGCAGCTCCTTTGCATGTAGTCGAACCAGCCCCACATCGAAAGAAATTGTTTGGAGGGGTTAATTGTAAAAGGTAATGTAGCCCATATTTTTCCACTTCCCCCACAATCAAGAATCACATGCAGAATGGTGTTGCGATCCCTCTCACATCGATCGCAAATCGGTGAAGTTTTAATGTTCCGTCGAAATAGCTCCACCCCCGTAGGCAAGATTTCCGAACATGCTCTCCAAAAAAAACATACGAACCTTTGGAGGGAGAGTGCCCAAATATTCGTCCACTTCCTACCAAATTCGCCACTACTCAAAGCCTCCCTCCCACTACGTACTCCCACCAAATGATGCTGATCCGAAAGAATGTTGTGATAACAGGATCACACCGTGAATTTGCCGTTGCAGAATAATGCCAAATTCATTAATCTTGCACCAAACGACTACCAATAGGCACTGGTAATATGCGTCCTCTGTCCACTGGCCAAAAAATATCCTCAATGATTGAGGTCGAGTTATTTTTTTTGGGCTCGAGCTCATTATGGTTTTTTTTTTTTTTTTTCTTTTTTGATTACAAAATAAATAATAAACTGTAGTTATATATATTTTTAATGTTAGTTTTATATAATAATAATAATAATAATAATAATAATAATAATAATAATAATAATAATAATAATAATAATAATAATAATAATAATAATAATAATAATAATAATAATAATAATATAATAATAATAATAATAATAATAATAATAATATTAAAAATAATAATAATAAAAAAAAAA